CCTGCTTCTTTTTTCCCTAGGTCGCCTGGGATATGGTTCTAATCTCTCCAGAGCTTAGGAGAGAGGTTACTGATAGTGGCCAGACTGTCCCACTAGTCATTCTGCCCATTAGTGATGGGTACATTGCAACAGGGATGGCATTAACAGGAGGGAAAAACAGCCCTGTCGTGGATTTGGGGCTTTATTTTCCATAGCTATAAGACATAATTTAATCATTAAGTCCTTTAGCATACTAATGTCCCCTAGCATGCCTGTTGTTGCTTCTCTGAGCATGGTGGCTAGACTCCTTGAACAGTGAAATCGCATATGTTGGACATGGCGAATAGACACCTGTTTCTTTTCCTTTCTCTTGTTTTGAGTTATTTGAATACCCCTCTTTCTTCTGTTATTTCCCCCTGCATTTCTTCATGAACTTTGTTCCTGACCTCTATTTGTTTTTTTCTTTGAGGTTTTCTTGAGTCATTTCCCCCAGGTAAATCCCCAAACTCTCAAGGCTCACTTTCTTTTCTTGGCAGTTTACTTGTATTCCTTCTATGACCTCAGTCATGGACATTAGTCAACAGTGAAACAAATCACTGTGGACACTGCCATCAAGACACCACTGGGGTCTTTTTCTTCCCTGTTGTCTTATTCTACAAAGTGAGACTCAATTTTCCATATGCAGAAGCAGAGCCTCTATTTAAATCCTACTTACAAGGTCTAGGCAAGCCCCTATTTATAGTAAAATCCTTTTTTATAATGATCTCATGTATGGTGCCTGGAAATTGCTCATGGCTAGGTCAGGCCATAGGCCAATGTAGCTGTAGTGTGAGCGCTGACTTAACGCTCTTTAAGAGAAGTGTTTTCACACAGTCATCCTGATGGATTACTGTGGCAGGAACATTAAATTGAAGTTCAAAAGGAATCTCTGCTTTTATCAGGCCAATCAAAATAATTTTTATTGCCTCAAGCTTTATAATTAATATATTGGGTGAATCAAATAGACTCGAGAGAGATTTATGAAATGCTTGCTATACAAGGTATGGCCAGAAAGAGTTTGCTTTTAGACCACCTAAGAGGTTGAGAAATGTAAGTTTTTGGGGATATAGACAACTGGGGTTGAAGCCCATCTTTTTTTTTTTTTTTTGCAACTGAGACCTGGAGCCAATATCTTAATCTTTTTGGATTTTGGTTGTCTCACCTTTCAAACAACTCCTACTTCACATAGGTTCTGTAGGAACCAATGCAATAATATATGTCTGGCAGAAGCCCCAGCATTTCTGTACTGTAGATACCTGATTCTTGTCCTTCTTAGCAAGACATTCAATCACAGGGAGGCTAAGTGGGTAGATATGACCTAGTGTCACTTCTCAGAAGGTAACGAATGACTTATGGCTTTGTGCTTTTTGGTGTGGTTGTGATAGCCAGACTTTCATTGCTCTGATAAATACCCCAGAGAAAGAATTCAAAGGGGAAAAGATTTATTTTGGTTCTAAGTATCACAGGTTTCAATCCACAGTTGCTCAGTTCTGGATTTTCAGGGTTACGATTAGGCAGAGAATTATGGCAGACAGGGTATAGTGGTAGACATCGTGGCACAGAGCTACCTATTTCAGATGGTCAGGAAGCAGAGTACCTTAACAGGAAGGGGCCAGGCCTGTGACATGTCCTCTAAAAACATGCCCCAGTGACCTACTTTCGCTAACAAGGCTCCATCTTCTTTAGGTCCACTATCTCCCAATAATCTATTTGGATTTTGAAACTATCATTGGATTAGATTAGGTCAGAACCAGTATAGTATAGTCACTCCCCTTAAAGGTCTACCATGGAATACTGCTGCCTTGGAAACCAAGCCTTTCAACAAATACAGTTTCATACCAAACCATAACAGCTGTGTTATAGTATTATTATTCTAGTGATTCAGGACCTTCAGCTACCTACTCTGGCACACTCTGGGAGTGGTTGTGAGTCTGTCTGTTTGGACACGGACTATCTCTTTGAAGAGTCAAGAAAAAAACAAGAGCAAGAAAAGATTGCTCTATAGAGGGAAAGCTGATACTATACTCTGCGTTCACAAAAAGGTCCCAGATGCATCGTATGATACCTGTTTACATCTTTGTCACATTTTCTAAGCCATTCATCCCACAGATTTTAGTCACTATTGCCAGCATGTAAGTCATGCAGGTGGCCCAGCAGTGAATCCATCTGAAGGAATAGATCATTGCATGTGAATATATGAGGTGGGTGTACACATTCATCAGGAGACGTATTAGTGATCCCAACATAGTGCCCTCCCCAAGGAATGACTGGTCCTTGCTGGTTGGGAATAGGGAGGGTCCATGGAAGTACCTGTGCTCTCCAACCAATCTTGAATACCAGAAAGCATAAGAGAACCAATGTGTATGCTCTTGGCCCATGCCTTGTCATTTTACTGAGATGGAAGGATGCTTTGAGCTTATCGCTGCAGTAAGAGAGTAGACAGACGCTCTACTGAAGTTAAAGCATGGCTATTACTGTCCCCTCACTCTCTCCTCCCCTGCCTCATGGTGCTCTGCTACTGAGCTACAACACCCCCTCACATCACTCTCTAAACTAGACTGTGCTAAATAACAATATACCCCTCACCTCTTCTTGTCACAACTACATACCTAAGTCTACCCACATGACTCCCTTATATAGACACCTGTATACGAGTGGACACTGCCCTGACACCCTGTCTTCAGAAACTGGGATCCCATGAGCTCTTCCAATGAGTGATGTGTATACCCAGCCCTCTTCTGACTAGTTAATTTTAAATTTTGAGACAGGGTTCCATGAGTTGCCCAGGTTGGCCTTTAACTCTCCTTGGCAAGCCTTGAACTTATGATTCTCCAGCCCCATCCTCCTAAGTAACTGGGAATGCACACCTGTACCACCAGGTCTGACTTGGAGCTCTTGAGTCAGTAGAATAGTCTACCTATTTGGTGAATACTATAAACAATAGTCCAGAAGTTATTATTCTCTATGTTTTCCCTCTTCATCTTCATATATCATCAGGGGATACAGTCAACTGAGGGTATGCAGATTTTTTGGTGGCATAAGTATTTTGAGAATGGGAAAGATATCTGATATTGCAAGAAGCCTGTGTGTGTAAAGCAGGAAGTCAGACTGGGACCCTGAGACCATCTTGGCGTGGTGTATATGGGACTCTTTTCCTGTATGTGGGAAGTTACTCAGATGTGATTGTCACTGCACACTTTATATCTAGTTCACCCAATATGAAACTTTGCTCTAAATGTAGTATTTTCCCCTCTCTAGTTTTTATATTTACCACTTAATAGACTTCAGTGCATCTTCTGAATTGAAAACGTTAAGTTTATTTGCTTCTTAAACATGCTTAGATTCTCTCTAGAAAGTTCTGAAAATGCTGAAGAGGGCAATTGAAAAGGAACGAAAGGGCAGAGACTGGTATTTCTGGCTTGGGCAAGGCACATTTCATAGGCAGAGAAAATTTTTGGCAGATGCACAGGCCTTGGGAGAGTATTTGGAAAGCCACCCTGCTTGCTCGGCGGATGTCTTTGAGGTCCAGTGGCTATGGAAGGATAGCCCATCCTCAAAAGACCACAGAGGGTGGCCCGTTCCTCTGTCTCCCCCAAACAGCCAACACTTTTCTTGCAGAGGATTGTCTGCCTGCTTGAAGATGGAAATCAATGACTTAGAAACTGATTAAACAATTCAAATAGCAACTGATAAATGGATTAACCCTCTGTAATGTAATTCTGCCAGCTTTTGTCTTCCGCCTTCCCCAGGTAAGTTTTCTATTCCTGGAGGCAAAGCAGAGGCATGGAGGAAGCAAAGGCCAGAGGGAATCATATTAAAGGGGGCGAATCCGTTTATCTCTTACTGTCTGGCTGGTATTTCTGCTCACATATCTGCTGCTTCTTCACAGATTTGTACCCTACGGGACCCTGATTAAAGTTAGCCAGTGAATAATGAAAGATAGCAGCAGACACGGAGGATGCTGAGGAACATACCCTAGTGGTTAAGGCTGATTCCACAAGCAGAGAGACTTCTTTTTAGTGGCAGTCATGGAGTGTGAATATCCCCAAGAAATGTCTACACCAGGATGAGAGAAATAAAAAAAAAAAAAGGAAGCATTCTCCCATGCAAGGAACCTGTTCTAGCTCTTTCAACCAGCCCCTAGTAACTGGGAATGACTTTGGGTCTCAAAGGCATGGGTGTTGTTACTGGGTTCTGTTTTCAAGGCCATACCTGAAGAGTTTTCAATACCTTTGTTTTGAAATTCAGCAGGGATGGGTTATGGCATTATTGTGTCCAGTTACTTGTGACGATTTTAAGCCTACATATATGCTAACTCCCCCATCATTCTGTCTGTCTCTGACATGAGACCGAGCTAAGGGCCCAGGCAACCTGTGACTGCTTCTAATTCTAGGCATTTGGGTTCTTCAGATGAGCTATCCTACTTGCTCTCCATGATCAACGAGTCTAAAACCTGGAGTTGAGGCTAAGAACAGACACTTGTGTGAACTCCCAAGATGTTTAACAGAAATTCTCAAGAGCCTCTCCAACACGCTGTCTAGAAGTGACTAGCCACAGATAGTGAATAAGTATATATCTCTCCAAGGCTAGGCCAAAGCATTGACTGTTCTCTCCCTCTACTCACCACTGTTTATAGTTTCCATCTTATGTTTGGACTCTGTGCAGGATGGACAGAGGCTTACTTGACTTACACCACTTCTAATTTAGAGCTGGAATCAGAGGGGCAATGGGGTTTCTATAAAAGAACTGAACTGTGAAAAACTTGCAAAGTTGAGATTCTGAATGACTTGTAAGATGGACTAAGAAGGATAAAAAATAAAGAAATAACAAAGCAAACAAATCCTAGTCAATATCACCACTAGGCTCTAACAAATTCTTCCTTTCTAAGTTTCCTATTCTCCCTGGAAGAGACTCTGCTACACTCCAGTAGAATAGGCAGCATCTAAGTCTAAAGTTGGAATCCTTTCTCAATGTTTCCACAGCCCAGAAAGGACCAGATGGGACGGTCATTCCCAACAACTACTGTGACTTCTGCTTGGGGGGCTCAAACATGAACAAGAAGAGTGGGAGGCCTGAAGAGCTGGTGTCCTGTGCAGACTGTGGACGTTCTGGTGAGTGAGGCCCCTTCCTGCACTGCGTGCTGTAGAGCTCTTCTGTTTGGACTGCTCTGCCATCTCATCAAGGTTAGGGAGGGAGAGGAGTAGGGAATGATGGGCTGATGACTTTGAGGGGAAAGGGGTTTTCAGGTCATTTTTATGTTTTTCTTCTTTGGGTCTTATGGACCAAAAACCGTTCTCTGGGTCCCCAGGGAAAGGGCAAGGAAAGGGTCTGGCCCTTCCATGAGGCAGACATTACTTTGTATGTGTAGTTGTCAAAAGTAAAACAGAGCAGAGATACACGAAGATCCCAGGCAACATGCTAGCCTGTAATGGAAGATGAACATGTAACAAAAATTGTGTTTGTTCTGTGGAAAGCTGGGGCAACCCCCAGAGGATGGAAACATAAGTATTAGGGAAGCAGCCACATCCTGAACTGTGGGGCTCAGAGATTCCTGGGCTCCTTTGTACCACCACCATTGGCCATTTATCCCATATTTCTATGTGTAACCGGGCAGAGCTATCTACACAAGAGGCAGGAGGGCAAGTGCCCCTAGACCAGCCTGCAGCTGGCCTTTCCTAGTCTTTTCATCTTCAATCTTTCCAAAGAATAAAGTATCAAAAGGAGACTTTGGGTCTCATTCCTTCCTTCTGAAAATAAGTTAAGAGTCTTGGCTGTGGATTGGTTTTTTAAATTGTAGATAAATCATTATTTTTATCTGATCATGGTTAGTTTGTGCCACCCCCTGTCCCCATTTTTCAATGTCATAATTAGACCAAAGCACAAGGCAGGGAAGAGAGATGCTTTCAGATGCCATCTTCAATTTCATCAGTTGCTCACTATAGGTGAGGCACTCGGATTGGGTGGTTGGGGCTAGCAGGAGAGGTCATTTCATCTTATACCTTTTGACCCCAGTCTTATTTTCAGTCCCAGTCCCAAGTGAAGGACTGAGATGACCTCATCTTGGTTTTCTGCAATGACTCAGTTCTCCCTCTTGTACCCTCAAGCCATACCTTTAGCGCTATGTGTTTTGAAGCTGAGGTTGTTTAGGGGTCTAGACAGCCTTGAGTGGTAAACCAATAATTAGAAACATGACTTAGTGGTCATTGCATAAGACCCTTTGCATTTCATTCTCAGGGACCCCTGGCAGGGAGTTCCTTTCATGCAATTCTGTCAATTCATTCATGGTCCAAACACTGAACTTTTTACTGAGAAGATACAACCCTTAGGATAGATGGAGATGGTTTTTAGATTTTTAAAAAGAAAATTAAAACAAATGAACTTCAACCCAATGCTTTTTATATGTTATAAGGTCAGGCATTCAAAAAAAATGTCTCTTCTATCAGAAGCAAGGCCACTTGATGGAGTGGTGTGCTAAGCAGGGTATTGTGGACTGCTGTAGGCTTTGGTGGGTTAGTGAAGACAGTTTTAGAGTTCTTCAACTGACCCAGGGGCATCAGAAGTAGGATGTCAATTTTGTTTTTTCCCTACATGAAGCCTGTCTTTGTACAACTTGCGCTCAGAGTTTCTTTCCTTGGTTCTGTCTGATATGTGCCTCACGTGTCATGTTACAGTGCCATAGGTATTCTCACTGTAAATGCTGGCAATTAATTTGGTGGGTCATTTATTAACACCTGATGCTGATGTTTCTGAAATAGCCCCTGTTTTGGGCTGCTAAGTCAGATGCGTGAAAACATCTCTGGGGCCTCCCCAGGGTCCTTCCAGAGAATATGAGTTGGAATACTGGCTATTCCCTGCTCATCTACCCACTGCCTCTGTTTTCCAGAAGAAAGTGCCTTGTCTGACCCCTGGCATGGAAGGGACCATCACTATGGTATTGGGTTCCAATAGTGTATGAAACAATTTAAGCCTGAGTTTTACAGATTTCAGGATACTATATTCATTAGGCTTTTTAAAACCCCATTTTCACCTTTCAGTATGTCTTGAGTTTGAGTTGCCAGGGTGAACTTTCTGCAGTAGCTGAGACCTTGGTATCTTTAGTGGCCTAGTGTGTGAGATTATAAGCATTTCCTTCAGGGTTAAGAGAGTGAGAAGTTTCTCTGAACTGCCACTTAGACTTTCCCACTGCTCTTTGCTTTCGGTGCAAATGAACTACATGGCGGAAGGGTAGAATTGAAAGAGCTGTCAAAGAGCGGGATTAGAGGCAGGTAAAAATAAAAATAAAATGGACGGAGGCTTAACCACCTTCAATGGGTTATCTGACAGTAATACCTTGGTAAAGCTGACTGTCAAAGTGACGAACGAACATTGTTCAAAGAAACGTCAACTGAAACTACAAAGAAATACCAACAAGGCTTTAAAATCGCCAAGCGAAAGCACTGTGTGGGGCAGGGCTGGGTGAGAATGTGCCTCTGTTCGAGCGGACCAAAGGAGATATCGTGCGTGTATCTCTTGCTGTCACAAGCTATGGACACATGTGTTGTGGTAGAGACGGGACATTTTCTGGGAAGTGGAATCTTCCTGGAAATGTGTGCTTTGTCCCATTACCTTTACCAGGTGATATACCTGGTTAGTCCCTTTTGGTGTAACTGGCTTATTATCTTGCTGTTAGGAATAACACTGTAATGATGTAATGAGAATATTAATGATGCTGTCTGTTGCTTAACCCATGTGCTGATATATTCATCATACATGTCAGCTCATTTGGGAGGAGAAGGCAGGAAGGAGAAGGAGGCAGCGGCCGCAGCACGTACCACGGAGGACTTATTCGGTTCCACGTCAGAAAGTGACACCTCAACTTTCTACGGCTTTGATGAGGACGATTTGGAAGAGCCTCGATCCTGTCGAGGACGCCGCAGTGGCCGGGGTTCACCCACAGCAGATAAAAAGGGCAACTGCTGAGCCCATGGGACAGACTGGCTGGCCAATTAGCCACCCCCTCTGACTCTGATCATTGTTCTAGTTCTGATATATATTTTTAAATGAAAGATGACTTGGGCTTTTCCCGTTATCCTTGCTTTTTCCTCCTACCTTCCATGTGTCCCTTCCCCTCCTACCATCCTTCTATTCTGGGTACAACAGAAGCACAAACTACTGAAAGCAAAACAACAAAAGAGCAGAATCAGAGTCCTCTGGGGAGATATGGCACCACAGTGGGCTATTTATTTTCCCTAGAAATAGGAAGTTAGGTGGATTTTCTTTCTGCTGGGGAGGGCATCTTTTTGATGTGAGCAGAGTTGATTTCCCCAGTTTTCAAGGGAAACAGGAGCATGAGGTTTGGAAACAAAGAACAAACAACATTAACAATTATTATTTATAAATGCTATCTATTATTAGATTCAGATGAGGGAAGAGAGAGAGAAGGAGAGAGAGAGAATCAAAGAGATGGAGGTGATATCCTGTTTAGGGGGAAGCCACTGTGTGTGTGTGTGTGTGTGTGTGTGTATGTGTGGAGAATTTCCTCAATGGGAGTTGGTGGCTCCGCAGAGCAGACCCCTCCCCATGTCTCTTCCATGACCTTTACATATTTCTCTCTGCTGTGAGAAAATGGCAGCCATCCCAGAGAAGCCTGGGGACACTTACATTTGGCCTCCTTCCAGCGCTGGCCCTGACCAGCGGTGGCCACTCCCCTCGGCTCCTCTCCTTTCCTTGTTGCTGGGTTTCCCTCACTTTCGTCCTGGCAAAGATCAGCGTCCATCCATCAGAACACAGGAATGGAATGTCAGCAAGTCACAGGCTCGGCTCTGGCAGAGCAACTGAGGTGGCACTCCTGGAAGGAAGAGTGATACTGCACAATGAATTCCCCTCTCCCTTCGCCCCTGCGTAAAAACATGTAGCTGCCCACTGGATGATGGCGTCTTCCATATTTCTTCCACTTTTTATAGTGCCTGCCAGGCACTTTGTTTTATCTTTCCAATAGCATTTCCTGAAATAAACCAAAGCAACACTTGGTCCGAGACCTCAGGGATAAGGAAGACTGTCCACCTCATTGGCAGTCCCTGAGAACAGCTGGGAGGCCCTTCTTGAACAGGTATGTCCTGGCTGAGTTGTTTCACAACGAGTGCAAAACCATCATAGTTTTTTGTTTTCCTTTATTTTTTCCTTTTTTATTTCTTTCCTTTGGTTCCTCTAAGCTTGCTCTTTTGTGTTTCTGGGTTCCCCCTTTGTGGTGTGGGGGTGGTGAATAAAGAGTCTGGCCTGTGTGTGCATGCTGGGCCTAGGTGCTGGGCTGATCCTGGCTTGTGGGGAGGGGAGGGGCTCGATGTAGAGAATGGCAAGCTTTTGGCTTCTGGCTTTAGCTTTTGGCTTCAACTGCAAGAGAAAGTGGCTGGGGAAATGCTTGGCTGACTTTTCCCTTGGTTAAATGTGGAAGTGAAGTCTGTTGGCTTGGGTAGGAATAAAGATGCAGAGAACAGTGTACTGCATGTCTAGGGTGGTACTTTGGGCTCTGGGGACCTGTTTCACAGCCAAGGGGCTAAGTCTAAATTAAGGATCTCTGGGCCGGCAAGATGGCTTATTGGGCAAGGGTGCTTGCAGCTAAGCCTGACCACCTGAGTTTGATCTGTGGGATCCACATGGTGGAAGGAGAGAACTGACTCTTGTAAGCTGTCCTCTGGGATCCACATGTGCACCATGGCATGTGTGAGCATACAAAGACACACAGGAACACGCATGAGCACGTGCATACATACACACACAGAACAAACCAACCGACCTGCCAAACAAACATTGACCAAATTAAAGACCTCTAATTAAGCATAACACTCAACTGGATTGTTTGGAAGATTCTGAATTTCCGTGGAGTAAGAATGGCCACGGTATTGGGCTTCCATGAGCACACACGTCGAGGTCCTTCTGGTTGCCTGGTCAACTGGCTGCTTGTGAGTATGCGAGGAGATCTGTTTCAACAGTCCAGATTTGGAAGATCTCCTTGAATTAGACCACTCATAAAATAACAAGCTAACTCAGCAAAAATAAGGACGTGCAGACAAAACTACAAATGGACCCCTTTGAGTTTTCCTAATAGTCCGAGATAGATGGACTCCTACTTTTC